AAATAAATTAATAAAAAACAATTATAATTATATTTACAAATAATATTAAAAATAATATATACCTCTGTGGTTTTATACATTTCTTTATATCTTTTTGTAGCAAATCCCAAGATCCACTAGAGTGTGGCAGTTGGTATTTCATTTTGCTATTTCCTAATTTATAAGTTACTATGACTTTGGAGAAGATAAATGAGTATTAGATATTATAGAAAAAATAAATATATAAAAACATATTATACTTACTACTCGACATGGATAATGGGTATCGAATGATAAATAGGCATGAATCAGTTGTAACAAGATCCGCTAGCAATACAACACCAAAATGAGTTTGTGTTTGATCCTTATCAGAGAAAAATTTAATATTCTCCAGCCTTATATTCTTAAGAGTCTCAAATTCTTGCTTAAGAATTTTCTTAAAGTCATTTAAGCCAGAATATTGTAATATAAAATTGCTTGGTTTAATATTAATTTTGATAGAACTTGGCATGCCCTCTAGAAGAATCTATATCGATATTAACGGATTTGGGGATGAGGATGCATCATTATCAATCTTAGACATATTTATAGATATAATTATTAAACCAATCAATATGGATTTGGAAAAAAAATAAAGAACCAAAATTTGTATAGTTTGAGTATAGAAAAATTTTTTTGATAAATCAAAATTTTTATAAAATTATATGTGAAATTTTTAAGAAGCAACTTCCAAAATTCCAGGTCGTAATACATTGAAGCTGGACTGGCAAAATTATCAGCTAAGAATTTTTTACTTAATTATACTATTACTATCACTATAAATCAAAATAATTTTCAACCATATATGCTATATTTTATCCTGTATTTCAGTATTTTTATTCTGTATTTTATTAATAAAGATTTCAATTAGAGGAATGTACAATATATTTTTTTTTGTGTAATGTATATGTATATATTATTTATTTTTTTTTTGGCGAAATTTCAGCAAACTTGGTTTGCCCAAAATCACATATTTATTTTTCAAACTTTTGAATATATTTGAATCTTGTATAAAATAATGGGAAATCCTCAATCTACAATTAAGACATTGAGAGAATTAAAATTTGATCTTGTTTACCAGATCACTGAACTTAGAAAGAAGTTTGCTGAGATCAAGGCTGAGAATATTGAGATTAAAGCTGAGAATGCAAAAGTTAAGACTGAGAATATTGAGATTAAAGTTGAAAATATGAAGTTAAAACAAACTTTGGAAAAATATAAGACCAGATTTATGAAACTGGAATACAATATTTCACTAATCAAGAAACAGAACTCACAAGGCATAAACACTATTAATTTGCAAAATCTAATAAATTTACAAGTACTTATTCTCTCTGAAATAAATTCTGACAATACCCTTATAGAGGATATTACATCATATATCGCTATGAACTGGCTAAAGGCTAAGAGTCAACCCAATAAAGAGGAAGTTATTAATTTCGATTCTATACCTGAAATAGAATATAGCTCAACCCAATCTGAATCACAAATAACTTTTCCATTTATCGAATTCTGCTCGGATAAAGAAACTTTAATACACTGTAAAACAAATGATTCTAGAACTAGCATTACTCCTGAACAGATAGCCCCACAAAGTGAGAATGTTCTTGTATCTGTCACACCCAATATAGCAAATTCTAATATATACCAACCTATTTGCATGAAGTCTAAATCATTGGAGGATATAAAGATCAATAAATTTCTAAATTCAGAGAATAAGAAAAAGGTTAGTAATGAGATTAGGCAAAGAAATAGAAAAAAAAAAACTTTAGTGTGATTTAGCTAGCCAGAAGGCACACTTGATTTTTCAGAATACTGCATTTACTACTTCTTGTGAGTGGAAAAATGAACAGGGCTTGATTTGAAAAAATGATTTCATCTAAAGAAAAAAAGTATGTAACTGAAATTTCAGCAAACTTGGTTGCCCAAATAATGAGACTTCAATAACTTCATTTATTCTAGCCATGTTCTAGTTATCACCAGATAATAGAGATATTATTAGTCTATATAAAAACACATGTGATGCAGAAATTGGTACAATTGAAGCCAATAGAGAAGAAACACTACATTGGTGTTTCTATGTTAAAGAATTCAAAAGCATGTATAAAGATTTTATGGTTAGCAATAAAGTTAGAGAAAAAAAGGCAAAAGGTCAAATATATAATTTTATTATCAAACAGCTACCTAATACTAAATACAAAACTTTATATAAGCAGACATAGAAAGCTTTAAGGATTGACAATTTATTCAAAAAAATAGGAATAAATAAGATTTAATATATCAAAACATATAGTGCAGATACTATTTCAAAATTCA